GGGGTCCTCGAGTGGGTCCGCCGAGCGCGGGGAGGGCGCGAGTTTCTGCTCCGTTGCTGCGGAGAGAGGCCTGCCGAGACGGCCGGCGAGCGAGCAGGGGCTTCGGGACGTGTTCTCCCGCCGACGTTGGGCCCTCGCTGCCCTGCGCTGCGCGGCGGATGGCTTGCTAGGTGCTGAGAGCGCGCAGGGAACTGGGACGCTGCGGCTGCTCTACGGGAGCCTCAAAAAGTGCTCGCGGTCTCGCACTGCTTAGAGGTGGGAAGGATGCGGCCAACGGCGCCAACCTCCGTTTTGCAAACAGGCCCCTGAGACCGAGAGCGACTGGTGAAGTGACCTTGCCCAGCTGGGTAGTCGGAGAGCTGGGACCGTGGTCGAGTTTTGGTGGCTGACAGGCTACTGCCTGTTTGGGGCGCCTTTTGCCCGCTTACACCAGACTAAGTTCCGGGAGGGTCGGGACTGTTTCTGTCTGGTAGACTGTTCGACTTCAATAACTTGCTCTTCGTAAATGCTCCATAAATATTTGTGTGATGAGCGAATGGTGCTACTGTAAGGTTAACATCCAGGTTCCCTTGGTTAAGTTGCTGCAAGCCGTTTGCTAAAGATGTAACAAGTCGATCGCCTAGTGGATACGTGGCTGTAAGCAGTTTGCTAAAGATGTAACAAGTCGATCACCTAGTGGATACGTGTATCTGTGTTTGGCAACACTGCATTTCAAAACTGAAACAGGAATGGTCATTGTACATGAAGCAGCCAGGGTGCTGAAATTGTACATTGGGCATTGAGGAAATTGATACGTTTACGTTACTAATGGCATTGTTCTTAGAGAACTGTAAAGTTACACAACGATAGGTAGGCTCTGGCACACTCCGACCCTTGAAACTACAACTCGGTAAAATTTTGAGAGAACAGAGCCAGCATGGTGGCTGACACCTGTAATCCCATCAGGGGGCTGAGGTGGGAGGTCTGCTTGAGCTCAGGAGTTCCAGGCTGCAGTGAACTATCATTGTGCCACTGCACACTAGCCTGGGTAACGGTGAGACCCCGACCCTCACTCCCCCCGAATTTGAAACACCAAACAGTGGAAATGTTCATAATATTGCTGCATATTTTCAGTGAAGGGGGCGATTGCTATTGGGCTGGGTCTAGGTAGCCCTTAGTAAGATGGATGGACAGCCTAGATGGTTCTCTGTGTTAACGTATTTTCAAGTTTTAGTCTTTTAAACATACATTATATAGTTTAGCAATGTAAAGGCATACATACACAAATACTTGTGTAATATTTTGCATTTATGGTTTATTTTAATATTATAATTATAACTTAATTTTGAATTATCCAAGAAGATTGTTATCATGTAAATAAATCCATCTTTTTGGCTTAAAACAGACTTTGAACAAACCTTTTATAAAAAAAAAAAACAATGCATGGGTTTGAATTTTATTTTCATGTTGTCCACCTCTTTTCAGAGGTAAAATATACCAGAAGTTATGAAGAATATGTAAATGTGAAAAGGCCGTTTTTCATTTCTTTTTTTCTTCTTTTTACACAGCCTTTCATATTGTAACTGTTTCATAAATTATTTGATAAATTGATTTTAGCTTGTCCATTTATTGGCGAAGCAATCCAAATACAGCTCCAAAAATTCAGGCATTTAGCTTCCCACCCTAAGAGAGAAAGGTCTGAAATCTCTCTTTATTTAAGGAAGTTGCTGGACTAAGCTTTTTGGGGGCAAGAAAGAAAAAATAAGGAAGTTGCCTAGTTTGATTTGTGGTCAAGAAATCCCAGCCCCTTTTACTTGGTTTTGCTTCTCTTGTGCTTACAGTAAAAGTACTACAAGTACTTGTTCTTATCTTCATGAGCAACATGGGTGAATTGTGCTGACTGACTGCTCATTTTGGGGACGATGGGATGTCAGTTTATAATATAGCCAGTGCCAATAACAAGCTCCCAATATGCCGCCTAGAAGCACTGACAGCTGCAGGTTTGAGCACAGCGTTGGTCCTCCTCATTCACTCTTTGTTGCCGCCGTTCCCAGGGGAGGAGTTAACATCTGAGTCCTGTACAGCCCGTATCAGCGTCTCTTGCTCTTTTGTTCCTGCCCAATTCATTCTCCCTTGCCCGTGGAGAGAATGTCAGTTGTCTACCAACTTGTTTTGGCCCTCATACAAGATTGCTTCTAATGGCATATAATTATGTATTCTGGGTTGTAGAATTCTGGGGGGAGAGAGAGTGGGTCTGACTTCCCTCTGCCATCAGTTGTGCCAAGCCTCCCCACCTGTGTCCTCTTAAGTTGCATTCAAGGCTACTTCCCCACGGTGGGACCAGTGGACTCTGGCTTGTCAAATCCTCTTCATGCTTGGGGACCTATGCACCCTTTCTGTCACCTGAACACTTAAAACATCTAGACGGTCTTACAAATAGTGGATTAATACATGGTAATTTTTGATCACTGTGTTAAGCCTTAACATGTTAACAAGTAGCTGCCATTTATTATTGCCTGGCACAGAATGTACACTTCATAATGTTGGCAGCAAACTGCCAGGCTCTGTGTTCAGCATTTGTAATTCTTTAATTCATGTAATCCTGCTTACTTGATGAAGAAGGATAAATTTGACAAAAGAGTCCCCAAAGACTCCTGAAAGATAAAGTTTATTTACACTCTTATGTAAGTGGGAGAACTGACTGGAAATTTCCAGAGCTCTTGTTTTTAGTCCCTACACCATACTGCTCCTGTGTATATCACACGTAAATTGACTTTAGGGGTTTATTTTTGTTTTTAAAATGTTCAGCTAATATAAGTAGACATGAAATACATATTACTTACAGCTTATATCAATTGTGTTGCTTTATAAAAGTGCACACAATTCAACAGATAAATTAGAATCAAAACTTGGGAAGTTGTGGAGATGGGTCAAGGTGGGAGGTGTAGTTGGGAAGCAGAAAATGGGAGGGAGTCATGGGAATTTTGGATTTAAATCTGAATGTGAAAAGGAAGACAAGATCACTTTCATTTTCTCCACAAGGTATACACACCTCCCTCCGAGGCCTGTTTTAGTTTTCCTTCTAGGTTGTATTTGTGCTTTTTATCTGAAAAAATATGTCCAGCACTTTTAGATTTTTTAGTCCTCACATGACTAAACACTTTCATCATCACTAATTTACCTTTTGGAGGTATGAAAATTCTGCTTTAAAAATTTACTAAGGTGTGCAAATTTTTTGGCAACTTAGTAATTTGCTTCACATTTTATGCTAGCATTGCTTTCTCTTGTGAATCATTCATTTGTCCCAGTGAAAACCTGACCCTTAGACTATAGGTACACTTGGTTGCTGATGGATATAACACTATGCAATTGTCGAGATACCTAGACAGATGGTTTTTTTCTTCTTAAGGCCCAAACGAAAATGGTCCTCTTTAAGTAGCATTGCTTATTTTAATATGTGTTGTTAAAATATGTTCTTTCTTTATTTATTTAGGGCATTAGATGATTATTTGCCTTGTCTTATTTTTTCAGCTAACAGAAGGCACTTAGTGACCCCCTAACCTACATATTGCCAGTATGCTGTATGATACTGTATTTTTCAGCCCACCATTTCTCATTTGGAAAACAGAAATGTGTGCTTGTGGCGGGACCAAAGTCTTAGAGTTGCTGGAATTCCGGCAGCTACGTGGTTAACCTTTTGTCTCCCTACTATTAGACATGCTTAGTAGTAGTAATGATTGAGCTTAATGTTTTGATATTAACTAATCGGTTAATTTGAATTGCAAGAGTTAACAATATGTTTTTCCATATTTCAGAATATTAGGTAAAGGACTGGGTGCAGTAGCTCACGCCTGTAATCCCAGCACTTTGGGAGGCCAAGGTGGCAGGATTGCTTGAGCCTAGGAGTTTGAGACTAGCCTGGGCAATATAGCGAGACCTCGTCTCTATTTTTTAAAAAAAGGAAAGGAAAGGAAAAAAAACGGCATGGTGGCATATACTTGTAGTCCCAGCTACTTGGGAGGCTGAAATGGGAGGATCACTTGAGCCCAGGAGTTCTGCTGTGAGCTGTGATCATGCCACTGCACTCCAGCTTGGGTGACAGAGTGAGATTTCGACTCAAAAAAGGAAAAAAAAAAAAGGAAAAGGATTCTTTTATGGCAGAGGATCACTAAGGTTTTTAATGAACCTTGTTTCATATTCCATTTCTTAACAGAATCACCTATTATTTTTACTGATTGAAGGTGCTGTTCTCTTTTATCTTATTCTGAAATTTTAAACAATTATTCACGATATACCCATAACCAACAATGATCCATGTAATGACTGTGGGTCAATAAATGATGGCAACAGATGCTTTGATTTTACTCCTGTGTAGATTCTTCTTTGCTGACTTGGGTTAACAGTTCTGGCAAGTGAGGATCATAGCCACGGAGTAAAGAAGGTGAAATAATTCGATGATGGCCAGTAATCGCCACAAGTTGGTTTGCTAATTTCTTCTTAAACAAGTTAAGGTGTAATTGCAACCTTGCCAATTCCTAGCTTCATTATAAATGGAAACTTCTTGAAGAATTTGTAAGGTTGGGAAAAGATGTCCGTTATGTGCCTTTTTCTGCAGTCTTGGTATCAGCAAAGAATTGATGGGCTCTTTGTTTCATCAACAAATCCTTTAGCTTAGGCTAAAAAAACATGCTGTCGAACGTAGCTTCAAAATCTCAGTCTCAGCCTCAACATGGCTTGTGTTACGTGACTTGAGAGGGTTGACCACAGGTGGAGTCCATGTCCTATTCATTCTAGCAACTAGAAGGAGTATCTCCTATCTGGGATAGATGGGTATCAAGGCAGAGAGAAAAGAGAGGTGGTAGATCTCTTAGATGGTTCTTAAAAGCTATTGCCTAGAAGTCATACGTGCTATTACCATTCACATTTTATTGGCCAAAGCAAGTCATGTGTCTAAACGGCACCCTATACCCACAGTGACAGGTGCGGGGAATGTGTTTACAATAGTATCATCTGCCACAGTGCCTTCTCACATTTTAAAAAATTGTGATAAAAACCCACATAATATTTACTTCCTTAAGTGTTTTAAGTGTACAGTACAGTAGTGTTAATTATATGTACACTGTTGTGCAACAAATTTCTAGAACTTCCTTGTCTTACAAATTGAAACTTAATACCCCGTGAACCTGCCTTTCCTGCCTTCCCCAGGCCCAGGCAACCACCATTCTACTTTTTGTTTCTAAGAGTTTGAGTACCTTAGATACCTCATGTAAGTGGAATTATACAGATGTTTTAGCTTTTGGAAACTTTTTAGGTTTTTATACTGAAAAGCAGTGAAAGCATTTTCATTGTGGATATGGTTGTACATGATCCTTTTATGATTTTTTTCATGTAACTTATGTGTGTGAAAGTTTATCTACCTGGGAAACAAAGTTTTTTCCCCCAAACGTTTATTTTATATTAGTTTTAGATCTATAGAATAGCTATGAAGATAGTACAGAGAATTCCCATAAACCGCATCCCCGTTTTCCCACTGCTAACATCTTACCTTAGTGAGGTACATTTGTTAAAATTGATGCACCGATATTGATGCTGAAGTCCACAATATATTCAGATTTCCTTATTTTTTTAAAATTTAAGGTGAAATTACATAACATCAAGTTAATCATTTTAAATGTACAATTCGGAGACATTTAGTACATGTGCAAATTCTAAACCGTTTTCATCACCTCAAATGAAAACCCTGTATCCAGGAAGTGGTAACTCCCCATTCCCCACCACATGCAGCCCTTGGAAACCACCAATCTGCTTTCTGTCTCTGTGTGTTTGCCTGTTCTGTTTATTTCTTTCAACGGAATCACACAGTACGATACCTTTTGTGTCTTGTTTCTTTTATTTAATATACTGTTTTCGAGGCTCATTCACTTTGTAGCACTTTATTTTCATGGCTGCATAATAGTTCCATTGTATATGTATTCATTCCATTGTATATGTAGATGTACCTATATGACATTGATACAAAACCATCAAACTTGCAACGGTGGCTGAGCCATTTTTCATTTCACTAGAAGTATATGCTGGCTCCAGTTTCTCTATGTCCTTGACAAGAAGCTTCTGTTTACTACTTATTTTCCTTGTATTTTTTTTCAGTGTGACCTAGTTGGTGTGTAGTATCTCATGGTGGTTTTGGTGAATGTTTCCCTTAGTGACTAATGATGTTGAGCATCTTTCCATGTGCGTGTTGACTTTGGAGAAGTGTCTATTCAAGTCCTTTGCCTGTTTTTAATTGGACTTTTGTTTTTTTTTGCTGTTGAGGTGTAAGAGTTCTTTATACTAAGAATTCGTTTTTAAAACCTGTGGTCAAGGAGCTTTATCCCTATGTTTTCTTTTAAGAGCTTTACAGTTTTAGTTCTTAGATTTAGGTCTGTGGCGCATTTTGAGTTAATTTTTGTATGTGGTGTAAGGTAGCCTCTGACTTTATCTTTTTGTATGTGGAAATCCAGTTACCCCAGAATCATTTGTTCTCAAACTCCTGGACTCAAGTGATTCTCCCACCTGGGCCTCCCAGGTAGCTGGGATTACGTGTATGAGCCGCTACACCCGGCTCGAACCATTTGTCTAAGAGACTTTCTTTTTCTATTGAATGCTCTTATTGAAACATTCAACAAGAAGGAAAATAGCTAGGCATGGTGGCACATGCCTGTAATCCCAACTACTTGGGAGGCTGAGGTGGGAAGGTCATGGCCATCACAGCTGTCATCATAGTACTCCCATTGTCCTGAATGTCATCAAATGTCTTCCTTTCAATATTTCCTTTATCTTCAGGTAAAAAAAAAGACATTAGGGGCCAAAGCAGTTGAGTAGGGAGGATGTTCCAATACAGTTATTTGTGTAGTGCTGCCAATGTAAGCGCACAGCGGCAAGTTTGTGAACTTAATTGTCAGACTGTAACAAATTACGACAACAGCTTTGATGCCCTTCCAAAATTGCTTTGATGGGTGGACTAGGCACCGGCATTGGCGCATAGCTTCCCAAGGGGAGTACTTTGAAGGTGACCGAGTGATATCCAGCAGTGAGGTATGTAGAGCTTTTTTTAGGATGGTTCACGAACCTAATTGTCGCACCTCATAATTTCACCTGACCTCTCTTCAGGTTTGTTGATTCTTCTGCCAGTTCAAATCTGCCATTGAAATGCTTCCTGCTTTTTAAAAAATTTTACTTATACTTTTCATCTCCAGAATACTGATTTCTTTTTATTATTTCCATCTCTTTATTGGTATTCTGTTTGTTGAGATATTGTTCTCTTAGTTTCTTTTCATTTTTTGTCCTTGGTTTCTATTAACTCATTGAACATCTTTGAGATGGTTGACTTAAAGTCTTTATCTAGTAAATCCAACTTCTGTTATTTTTCTTGGTCTCTTTCTGTTAATTTCTCCTGTGCATGTACCATTGCTTTTTAGTTTCTTTGCATGGTTTGTAGTATGTTGGAAACTGGGTATTTTTGAATAGACACTTCTCAGAAGACGATATACAGGCAGCCAACAGACACGTGAAAATGTGCTCAGCCTCACTAATCACCAGAGAAATGCAAATCAAAACCACATTGAGATATACCACCTAACCCCAGTAAGAATGGCCATCATTAATAAATCAAACAACAGCAGATGCTGGCAAGGATGCGGAGAAAAAGGAATGCTTCTACACTGCTGGTGGGAATGCAAACTAGTGCAACCTCTTTGGAAGACAGTGTGGCAATTTATGAAAGAACTAGACATCGACCTTCCATATGACCAGCAATTCCCCTATTGGGAATATACCCGGAGGAACTCAACTCATTCTACAAAAAAGATACCTGCACATGTATGCTTGTTGCAGTTCTATTCACAATAGCAAAAACATGGAACCAACCATGCTGCCCATCAAAGCTGGACTGGATAAAAAAACGTGGTATATATGCACAATGGATTATTATGCAGCCATAAAGAAGGACAAATATGGACTTGGCAGCAACTTGGATGGATTTAGAGTCAATCATACTCAGTGATCTATCACAGAAACCTATGGTCTCACTCATAAGTGGATCTTGAACAATTATAATATTATAAGAAAGGGATTGGCAGTAGTGGAAAACTGTCACAGGATGGCGGGAGGGATTGGCAGTTGAGGGGAACTGCTGGAGAGGGAGGGGCACACCTCATCAACAAGGGTACCTGCATAACCAACGTTTGTATACCTAACCCTGAATTGTACCCCGTATCTCTAAAAAGAAAACTGGATGTTTTGAATATTATAATGTGGTAACTCTGGATATCATACTCTTCTTCCTCAGAGATTGTTTCTGTTATTTGCTGTGGGTTGTAGGTTAGTGACTTTCCTAAACTGTTTTTCTAAACTGTGTTCTCTAAAGTCTCTAGCTTGTGTTCAGCTCGTGGTTTTTTGTTGTTATTGTTGTTGTTTGTTTGTTTGTTTTGAGTTGGAGTCTCACTCCGTCGCCCAGACTGGAGCGCAGTGGCATGCTCCCGGCCACCGCAGCTTCGCCCTGCTGGGCTCCGGCCATCCTTCCGCCTCAGCCTTCCAAGTCACTGGAACTACAGGCACGCGCTACCATGTCTGGCTAATTTTTTATTTATTGTAGAGATGAGGTCTTGCCAAGTTGCCTGGGTGGGTCTCGAACCTGGGAGCTTAGGCAATCCACTCGCCTCAGCTTCCCAAAGTGCTGGGATTACAGGCTGAGCCACTGAGTCTGGAGCCATTCCCCCCCTAAAAAAAGAAGAAAGAAACAGGGAGTAAAACCCTTTCCCAGTCATAGAATGTCTGTGTTGGGACACCCTTTCAATGCTTAGTCAGTGTTTACAATTCTGCCTTAGCCTTCATTTCCTGCTTATGTTGAACCTCAAAATCAGCCAAAGGGTCTTTTCTGAGCATTCTTCCTGCTCTGGGCATACATGCATGGCTTTCTAAATTACTATTATTAGTATAGGTAAGTACTTTTTGTTTTAATTTCCCAGAGAAACTTTCTTCCAGCTTTTCTTCTTAGGCCTCTGGCTTGTCTGTTTGCCTCAACTAAAATCTTTTGTCCCACGTGGCTGCAAGTTATTTGCCTTGTAAGATTTTCAAGCAATGCCCTCTGAATGGCCACTTTTCTGCCCTGAGAGAGTTCTCAGGCAAAACAAAGACGAATGCCTCGCCCTGCATCAGTCTTTTAGGTAACTCCCAGACTCAAAATAGACAAACACACTTCTTCCAGAATAAGGTCTGCTCTGCTTCCTCTGGAAGCAGGACTTAGCCACTAGGTTCCCATGCTAAGAATGCGGGCTGCTGCCTACAAGACCACCCTGGGGAAGAGGAAGAGAGAGGACAAGGAGAAATGCTGCAAAGCTTTTCTACTGTTTTAAGTTGTCCGTTTCTTGATTCAGTGTTTGCTGAGTTGCTGTAAATCTCAGTTTTCTGGCGTTGTGTCAAAGCTGACTGTGGCCATTTTTGCTGGATTCTTCAGTCTGCTGTGGAGAAATGAGCTGTTGGAACTACCTACTCTGCCATTTTCACTAATGTCACTCAAGATTTTAAAAAAATTACCTTTTGTGATACGTTACTTTAATGAGCAGAGTCCAAGAAGTTATATTGACGTTTATAATAATTGTTAACAGGATGGCATCCGACGCGGTAGACCCAGAGCAGATACTGTCCGGGATTTAATAAATGAAGGAGAGCATTCGTCCAGCAGAATCCGTTGTAACATCTGTAATAGGGTTTTTCCACGGGAGAAATCACTCCAGGCTCACAAAAGGACTCATACAGGTGAGTTGCACACATTTTAGAGACTACCGGAAATAATACTTAACTGAAGGCTGATCTGATATGTTTGGACCTATAATTTTTTAGATGCTTTGTACTTTCTTAAGTTATTACTATTCTGTAGTCAGTTTCTTTTTGGTGGAGAGTGGTGGTTTTATAAACACTGGTTCCATGTGATTTCTAAAGTTATGGTAATTAACTTAGATGTTCCAATTATGTTATTGCTAAATGTAGTTCTACCTTCTACCTACCTGAATTTTACTTGATATTCTTTTAAGTTATCTGTGTAATTATAGGCCAAACACGAAAACAGCAATTGTCAAGTTTTTAATAGAATTTCTGAAGTCCTCAGTGTGCCATCAGTATTTGACCTAACCATTAAATCTGCGGTGAACTATGATGTTTCAGAATTAAATGTATTGTAGGTGGCTCTCCCAAGATTATTTCAGATCTTTATTTGTATATAGAAATTATGTTTACATTTTAAATGCCTTAGAGAGAGCCAAAAAATAATTTATAAAGGACTCTTGTTCTCTATAAAGTTGACCCCAGAGGAGTGAACCTTATGGTTCTTCTAAATTTATAGATGAGGACACCGAAGTGCCAAAGTCCCAATTACTGCAGACTTACATCTATAGCTATGCAGCCCAGTGCAGTAGCCACTGGCACATGTGACTCATGAGCACTTGAAATGTGGGTCTCTAACCTGAGATGGGCAGTAGGTGTGAAATACACTTAGTATGAAAAAGAGAGCAAACGTTCTCACTGATCATTCTTGCTGTTGGCGGGTGTGGTGGCTCATGTCTGTAATCCCAGCACTTTGGGAGACGGAGGCAAGAGGGCTCGGAGACCAACCTGGGCACCGTGGCGAGACCTTGTCTCTAAAACAAATCAGGAAAAATTAGCTGGGGCCTGGTGGTGCACGCCTGCAGCTCCAGCGACTTGGAAGGCTGAGGCAAAAGGATCGCCTGAGCCGGGCGGGTCGAGGCTGCGGTGGCTGGGAGCCTGCCACTACACTCCAGCCTGGGTGTCAGAGTGAAACTCTGACTCAAAAATACAGTGACAAATAAATAATTTTATTATTGATGATATATTGAACTGACAATATTTTAGGCATACTGGATTAAATAAAATATCTTACTAAAATTAATTTCACCTACTTTATACTTTTTTTTTTTTTTTTGAGTTGGAGTCTCACTCGGTCGCCCAGACTGGAGTGCAGTGGCCGCTCCGGGTCACCGCAGCCTCGACCTGCTGGGCTCCTGCGATCCTTCGCCTCAGCCTTCCGAGTAACCGGAATTACAGGAATGCACTACCGCGCCTGGCTGATTTTCTGATTTATTGTAGAGATGAGGTCTCGCTGCCCAGGCGGGTCTCGAACCCGCGGGCTCAGGCAATCCACTCACCTCAGCCTCCCAAAGGCGCAGGATTACAGGCTGAGCCACCAAACCCGGCTTTTGCTTATTCTTATTGGACATCACCAATAGCTAGAAAGAGGGAGGAGAATAATGTCTTCACTCGCTCATTTATTGATTTACTTATGCATGCACTCATACGTTCATTCATTCAACATCCCGTGTCAGGCATTGCCCTCGGCAAAGGAACACAATGGTGAAAAGAGTTCAACCACTGAGGAGTTCAGTGCCTCCCAGGAGAGGCAGAGATGTAAATACATCACACTGGCATTGATACCTCCAACAGAAGTATGGACCAGGTATAAAGGTGTGCAAAGGTGGGATCGTTAACCCCATCCCACCTGAGCAGGAAAGATTTTTTAGAGGAGTTACATCTGAGCGAGGTTTTGATGGGTGGTGGGAGGTGAAGAGAAAGTACTGGAGGCAGAGGGAACAGTGTGTGCACAGCACAGAGACCTGAACTAGCAAACAATAGGGCATTTTTTCAGTGGAGAAACTTCTCTGGCCTAGGAACAGAGAGAGGAGAGAGCTTGGGAAATATTCTTGACATTTCACGAATCTGTTTCTCCTTTGAGTCCTAGTCCACTACCCGTGGAAGGTCACCTTACGGCTGCCAAGTTATTGCCACATCCTGGAACCAGTCCTCTGGCCTCCAGCTTCCTCCTCCATGGACACAGAAGGAGATTTCAAATGCAGGATTCATCCCCGCCCACACAGGAACCACAGTGGGCAAAATAACATGCCGCACCCCCAGAACATGAGGCCTTTGTGACGTGGTCCCTCCTGGCCACCAGCACTGATCACTCCCTTCTCACTGCCCACACCTCACACTGTCCCTCAGGTCCCAGGCTTCAAGCCTGGCCTCCCTGCCTCCACCTCCCCTCCTTTCTCACATCAGTCCCACTGACTGTCTGCCCCTCACTTGATCTTCGCTTCAGCCCTTCCGGACTTAGCTCAGGCCCCCTTTGTCTGGCTGGGATTGGCTCCATCCTCCTGTCTGCCAACATGGTCTCAGGGACTAAACAAAGGTTTTGGAGTCCCAAGAGGTGGGTTCCACTCCTGGCTCAAGCTTTGGACAAGGCTCTGAGGCTCAGTCTCCCCAACTGAGATAGAGGATGCCTAGATTGCACAATTGTTCTAAGATTAACAGAGCATGTTTGTTGTGTGTCTGGTTCACAGTGCATCTTCAGACACTGGCGAAATTATTATCATGATGAAATTTCTTTGTGAAATTCAGGCAACGGTAGCTACCTTTCCAATTTGGCGTGAGGGTCATATAAACTGATGACCATGAAACTCTTGTCAACTGAAAAGCCCTTCGGATAAAGCTAATTATTATTTGTATCTCTACTAACGTATCCATTCACATTTTGTTCATCATCCAATCACTTATGTAACATTTACTACATTCCCAGTATTTGTTACATTCCTAAGCTCAGTGTGAGGGCTATAAAGATGAATTTGAAATACCCTCAAAGAGCTCAGAGCCTCATGGGGGAATCAGACAGGGAGGCGGCCAGGTCTAAACCCAGGCAGGGAGCCCTGTGACCAAGTGGGGTGCTGTGGAACATGGGGGGACCAAGGGCTTAGAGATGAGCTCCAGGGGAGCAGCCCTGTCCTTGGTCTGGAAGGGCTGAGGAGGGAAGGGCATGGCAGGTCCAGGGACCTGGGTGGGTCAGGTCCGGTCAGTAGGTGTGAGACTGCTTTAGGGAGTCAGGGAACTGCAACACTGAACCAAGGAGCCCAGTATCTGGGGCTGTGGCATTAGGGGATGGAGAGTGGGCATGGGG